TGCACCAGGAAGTATAGACTAATGCTGCATTATAAGCAGGCTAGTGACATCCAAATTAATGTATATAAATCCTATATCATTATAAAACAAACAAAACATGTTATACTAATGCATATAACTTCTCAGGATTCTGATACCCATTTTAGTTGCCCCATACTGATGCCATTCTTCTTGCATGTGATCTGCCTTTCTCTGGCCCTTTGCCTAGCCACAGTCTTTCAGCTGCTAAAGGCTGCTTCTACTGTGCTATGAGTTAATGCCCCTCCCCACTGAGTAATCTTTCCTAATAAAAACATACTGATTGCTATAGTGGAATAGAACAAAAGAACCTCAAGTCTAACATCCTGTGTCCAACAGTATTGAATACTGGGTGTTACAGAAAAAAGTGTAAAATCTGTCATGCATCTAATTGTGCAATTTTTGTTTAAAGGGGAACAGAATTCTAAATTCAGTTCAGTCAGAGTATGAAAACTGATAAAGCAATTTTACCCTTGTTAGTGTAACAGCAAATGTTATAAACCTGTTGGTTTTCTGGAGCCTATGAGCTGAGGTATAACTCTCAAGAAGACTGATCCCCCATCAGATATTTTTTCAATCATACTATAAATGCTTGATGTGTATTACTGATTATTGTTCTAGTACAAGCAATGAATTACCTTTATTTTAGACAGTGTTGAGTGTTACTTTTCCAAATGAATTTATCATCTTGTCATACTGCACGTGACAAATGCAGCTCTTGATAATTATTTTTAAAGCTTTTATCTGACGTGACAAAATCTTGAGTTTTTTTGTGGGTTTGTGAAATGATAAATCGTGTGGTGAAAAAATGCTTCCAAAACAATTTTGATGCACTTTTGAAATCATAAATTCAGCATCCTTTATGGCTTGGCACTCATTTTATTAACTCACATAAGTGGGTATTAGTACCCACGTAAATGTTTAATATGTTTTTTGTTTCATTTATGATATCTTAATTCAAATGATTTTTTCCTATAAAATCTTCCAAAATTGTCCGAAACAGAACACTTTAACTGAAATCAAATAAAAATATACCATACCTTCCACAAGGAACGGCTGCAGCCACTTTGAAACAAAGTTAAACAGGCATGAAAAATAAGAATGAAAACAACACCAAAGGAAAATAATTAGTCTGATACAGCACAGTCTGCAATAATACAGGATGTGTAAAGAGCACAGTCAAATTACAGCAATGACTCACTGATTATGTGAATGACTGACCAGGCCACAACTTCATTATAATAACACAGCACACTCAACCCGTATGCCAGGAGGTCTTGGCAGTTTGAGCCATCTGGTTTCCCTTTACTTTAAATTCACTCCTATCTATCTATACGTGGACTGCACCTCTGCTACCAGTTATTAGGTAGCTGACCCTGTGGGATAGCCACCAGCAGTGTCTTTTGATATGGATTTATTCTGAATACTTTAAAGTCAATAGGAATATTGTTTTTGTTTTCAGTGGGGGAAGGATCAGGGCCACACTGTGTAAAAATTGCATTTTGAGGAAGGTACATTCAAGATTTTAAAAGCGTTAAATATGCATAGACTTGGTGTTATATCATATCTATTTAGTGATGCAGCCAATTAATGTTGAACCTAGTCGTTATTGCTATAACAACTTCTGAGGTGATCAAAACCATCTTATAAATAGCACTTCTAATCTATAGGCTATGTTGTCCAAGCAAATACCAAAAACAAATAGGCAAGGGACATTGAGAACTCCCCTTTTGTCTCTACTGGCTCTAATGTACTTCCAAAGAACTCTTCCATACTATTTACAGAGGAGTAAACAGTACAGATTGTTCCTTTGGCCTACTCTGCATTTCCCAACATCCCCAAGTGGCTTGCTCTATTGTCCAACTGTTCTTCCACTTAAGACAGTGGAATTAGCTGTCTAGAAACACTGTAGAATCTCCTTCACTAGAGCTGTCTAAGAAGAGATTGGATAGGCAACAGCCTCAGTTTGGATAGGACAGGAGAGGATTAACATCTGCATAAGGTCTGATTTTGATACAGAGGCAATCATCTGACGAGAAAAAAAGAAATCTTACAGGCTTTCCCATAAATCTGTTTTTGCTCCATTAAACCATTCAGATGTGTGGTAGAGCTTCAAGGACACCCGTAAGCCAAGATTTACTCCAGGACTCTGCTGTCAAATATGAGACTGGTTGCTATTTGGCTAAATAGCGCAGAAAACATTAAACAGTAAGTAGAAGAAAGCCTTTAGAAAAGGGCACTGAGAGTCTATAACAACTCTTCCACAGAGAAGGAAAAAAAAAAAAAAGAGAAAGAGAGAGAAACAGCTACACAGCAGGGAAAAGAAAGCAGATGCACTCTGCCTTCCTTTTTTGGCTGGGCCTTATTACACCCTATGCTGTAAGCCACACAAATATTGATCTGTGTTAATGCTAGCTCAAGCTTGGAGCAGTCAGTTCAGGCCAGCAGGGGCCTGGAGGACTGAAAGGTAAGAATTCTCCCCACTCCTCCTTTCCAGACTTCCCCTCTGCTCCCTAGGGCTCCCTCAAACACCCCTGCCCTAGGGCTCTCTCCCCTGCCTCTCCACAACCCCAGGGGGAATTCCTTGTGGTTGCCTACAGTGTCTGTCCTGGGGGAGTAGGCAGGGTAGAGTTAACCTACCTACTTGCTGCTGTATAGCTGTTGCTCTTTTGGCACAGAGAGAAGCAGGAGCAGCCTCCCCTGGGCAGGTAGTTTAACTCTTCCCTGCCTGCTCCCCAGGACAAACAGCCCTGGGGAAGCCTCAAGTAAGCAGGGGAGGAGGGGTGAGGAGACAGTGAGCCTGGATCTGGGGTGCTGGGGAGGGCAATTGGTGCATTAGCCCTGATCTGGACCAGCTGGGGTGGGGTGTTTACACTAAGGTGTAGCCTATTCTGGCTACACCTTAGTGCAACACAAGCTGGGTGACAGGGATCAGTCACTTTGAGCTGCCTCACAAGTGCTTAAAACCAGTTTCAGGTGTTCACGTGTTCCTGGAGCTCTTAACCCCCAAATTGTCCAATAAGAACTCTAGGAGCCACCCAAAGTGATGTGTAAGGAGGCCCTGTGAGCATGTCAACATGCCTGTGGGGAGAAAACAAGGAGATCAACCAGAGAAAGTTTGAGAAACATTCTTGTAGGGTTTGTTTCTAAACTAAAAACCAGTCATTTTCCTCTTGGAAGCAGCTGTCACTGGCCAAGCCATCATCTCCCCAGCCAGGGAGTGCTGCTGCACCCTGAGTTTTGCCGTATGTGTCGCAGGATAAAGGTTGGCCTCCCCACTTTGTTGAAGAACTGTGCTTGGCTTCCCCTCTCCCCTTAGACTCTTCCCTGCTGAATTGCCCCTCATGTCTGTACATTAAAGGAAATCCTGGGTTCTGGCAAAGCCTGCCACTGGGAGCCCTGCAGTGGTAACAGCAATGCTGTGAAGCAATGAGTACTGCCAGGTCCGAAAAACTGGCCCTGTGCTTGTGCCTAGTAACACGTGAAGCTGGGCTGCACTGGTTCAGGCTGTCTCTGTGGTGTGGCTGCTGTTGGGGTGGGGTGGGGTGGGGCAGGGTAGATGCCCCCAGTAGCTCCCATCCCTTTCCTAGTGTGTCTGGGTGTAGCCCTTCTTGCAGACTAGCCTTTTTCTCCTCTCAACAAAGAAAGTATTATCTGATCTGCAGCCCCTGGATCTGACCCTTTTGCTCACTGGATGCCTAGACCCCCCTCCCCAGGTGAGGGGCTGCTCAAAAGATTTCCTCAGATATTTTTTCAATCATACAGCTCCTCCTCATTTACCGTCATAGTTACATTCTTGCAAAATGCAACATTAAGTGAAACAATGTTAAGTGAATCCCAGTAGTCACCTACTAATAGGCGGTGGCCAAACAACGTTCTGACCGAACGTTGTGCGACTTTAAACAAGTTTGTTTTCTAATTGATCAGCAATGTAATAATGAAACAATGTTAACCGGGACAAGGTTAAGGGAGTGCTATAAATGCTACCTGTGCTATAAATGCGTGCCGCGAACAAGGCAGACAAGGTTCTTTGGGTCAATCTGATATCTTTTATTAAACCAACTCAACCAGTTGGAAAAATTCTTCTTTTGGGCACAAACACCCTTCGTTAGGCTGAGAAAGACGGTGTGAATGACTGATTCGTGTCCTAGCAGAAGCAATGAATGACCTTTGTGCTAGCCAGGGCTGAGACTTACTTTCCCAAAGGCATTTGTTCCCTTTGCCGTGTTGAATCAGACAAGCGCAGCTTAGCCAAAGCCCCTCTCCTGCCTATGTCCAAGAGCCACACAGCTACAACCAACAGCTCTGCAGGATATGTACTTTAAATGCAGTTATGTAAAGAAGTGACCCCAGCTAGAGTTGCGGGGGGGGGGGGGTTTTTTGGGGGTGTTCTTTGGTTTTTGGGGGGGGTTGTGGGTTTTGTTTTTTGGGGGTCGTTCTGTTTTGGGGGTTATTGTTTGGTTTTTTACGGGGGCGTTTTGTTTTGGGGGAGGGGGCATTTTTTGTTTTGTTTTTCAGCAGTTTGTGGGAGGCTCAATCCGGGGGGGGAAGCTTCCAAAAGCATTAGAGGGGCCTTTTGAAATGAAAAGGAATGAGAGCTCCTCGTGGCAGAGGTGAGCTCTTTTGTTTAGACCAATAGCTATTTGCCCCCCGCCCCCCAAATAAAAAAAAAAAGTCTTTATTTGCTAGACTTTTGATTCCTTTTGCCTCCAGCCCAAGACGGCCCCAGCCTGGGTACCTTTTGCGGTACGAAAGCCCTTCTCCTTCCATTCACGCCTGTCAGTGGGTCTCGGCACCAGCCTCCAGGCGTGAGAGGTTATTTTTTTGGTGTGGCGGGGGGAGCCGTT